TTTCCCCGCCTTATCTTTTACATCCCCAGACTGGAGGTAATGGGGTGGCAAATTATGAGCGTTTCGCGACGCGATGTCTGTCTGTCTGTCTGTCTGTCTGACTCGCGACCCTACAGATTTAAGATTATTAGCCCACCTAGACCACCCTCAGCGGATGACGAGAGATACGCTGCATGCGGAAAGTCGGGGTGTCTAAATGTAGAATGATTTTGCGTTTATCAAATACTTTTTCGATGTTGTCATAATCGATGGAAATGAACGTGGTATTGTATTGTATTGGAGGGGCGGAGTCATGACCCCGGTACCTGAAACGAAGCTTGAAATGAACAGTCATGGTGAAAAGGTTCTGATCTGTAATGATTCTAATAATAGTCTACATAATGTAAAGTGATTAGAAGAATTAAATTTAAAGTTTGGTGTGCTGTAAACAATCTGAATATAGTTTACCAATACATTGAGAAAGGACAGGCCACAACGGTGCGTATTTTAACATAACTATGAGTAAATGATGAGTGTAGAATGTACTGAAACGCATTTGGAAGTTTTGTTTTTGACTACGATCACCATGTTAAAAGAATCATCAGCAAATCATCGAGTACCGTAGTTTTTTGTTGGTTCGTTGGAAATAGCTGTCCCTTGATCATTAGGCTTTGATATGGTACTGGCTAAAACGGCTAAACTTAGTCCCTCAACAAAGCCACGTAAATAATCTTACTTGAATACACTACTATTAATTAGGGAACTTAAATAAAAATAACACGTAACGAGGTAACATTTAATATGCATATTAAAATAATACAACATAAATTAACACGTTAATGTTCGTAAATGTAATGTTCATGAAATCACCAATATTTCTAAGGTTGTTTTGGATTCCCACCAGGGTTTCTAAAGAATAACGTCCTATTTTTAGACCAAACAATAGATAATGTAATTCCTCATACCATAATTGCTAAATAACCCATGACTAAAATTCTACCATTACACCCCTTTAAATCACCATACCTCCCGCACATCCCCATTCATTTTCTGATTGTTAAACAAGCAATTACTTAACTGTGAAATTGGAAATTAATAGGTTCATATGTCATATCGGGGGCTAGTGAAGACATAGGACACCCTTCGGTACATAGAGGGTTGTGTGGGGTGGTTTTGATTAAAGGGTTCAACCCCTGACCCCGTTGACCCTCTACTGATAACTTCAACACATGTTCAACAATCAACACTATCTGCGAGAGGAACATCATCCGATCTGTACGTTAGAACCGACGGGAAGTTCTGAGTTCGTTGTTTTGTTTCCGTGTTTGGGTAAACGAGTATTTTATTTATTTATCATTAATTTATTTATGTTTACTTTATACTATTCATATAGTATATTTATATTCACATGCAGTTAGGAGGGTAGGCCTAGCTGTGTTTAGTATAGAACGTATACAACAAGAAACTAATTAACTGGTAATTGTAAAACACGCTTAACGCAAAATTTGCATGATATAACTTTAAATTTTAGTACAATATAGTGACAATTTTAATTTAAAATATACAGCAATTTACATAGGGCGAAGAAAACAGAACACAATTAAAACAATCGATCTTATTTATACATTAAAAGGTAGACCGCTAACGTTCTCACACTACTGCACAATACTTATTCAACACACACCAAAACCGGTTGTTGCTAATTCTCACATCGGCAACATGGCTGAGGCTGAGGTTGAGAAGAGTTGGAGGAATATGTGACTCTTAACATTGCTAGTGTCATTGATTATAATGCTAGCTCAACATCTTTGGAAGGTTTGGACCGTTTTAGAACTATAATAACGTGAATGACGTAATGTATAAACAAAAATAGTATGGTTAGATGAAACTAGGAAGAAACTATGCAATTGGAAGTCGACTATGACCAAGAAAAATATGTTATTCTGTCACAAGATAAATAAAACTGAAAAAAATGTGAATGAAAGTAATCTTTTACTACGAAATGTAATTCGATCTTTATAGCAAATGAATGGGTGTCCTGAGGAATAAGGAAAATATAATTTATTATTTTATTATAACAAATAAAGAAAAAACTCTCTTACAGTTTTTTCATCCTGTCTTTCTAAGATTGATGTAATATACATTTACTTTCCAGTTCAATATTAAAAGACAATTCGACTTTTCAAACCAGTAAACAAGTGAAAATAATTTTCTCAAACATGTAAGAATAGCACAAAATTGAATACGATTCATTACAAGTCTAAGAAAATAGACTTCATAGTCAACCAGAAGTTGACCTGAGGCGGGTCTATAGTCGAGAGAGTCGTCAGTCACAGAGGTATATTTCACATCACTCAACTTCCCTTCATTATACTTTTCATTACAGACAATACGGGATGCGAACTTTCACCGGGGAAAAACTGCAGAAAGAACCAGTGTCTATGTCAAGAGTCGTGTTGGGCTTCAATAGCCAATCGTGAAGTAAATATGATGGCTTAGTGGCTATACCATCTGGAACTGCAAGTAGTGCGGTGGGAAATAAGTATATTCCGTATAGAAGTGACGATAACAGATCAGTAGAACGCATATGAGGCGCAAATAACGAAAAATTAATTTATAATACGTTACTTTATCAGAAAAAATATTTGATAAAATTATTCACAAAACCTATTACAATTGAATAAAAGTATTCTTTTCTAAGGCTCTTTTAACAATATTATTAATTATTCAGCCAAAAGTCAATGTAATATGTTTTGTGGTGGATGAAAGGTATACAATCTTTCCGACCTAAGTACAATTTCAAGTACTTTGTATCTAAAAATAATTTATAGTGTAATAAAGTTGCCCCAAGTTGCCTCCCTACCAGGTTAACCCTCAAAAGCGTAAAGTGCTGCTTTAACCAACAATGAGAGTTAAAGCGCCGCGAAGCTTGATTGGCTGTAGTCCAAGCGCCGCGCAGCTGTCACATTCGTCATACTGGCGCTTAACAGTAATTTGTATCGTGTTGGAGATGAGTTACCGTCTGACGCCTCAAATATTAATATCTGTTGACAAAGTCTCTATTCATCTGCTCGCCTGTGTACACGTTTACTCAGCGCCAAGTCTTTTAAAAATGATTTATTGCCTGTTGGATCCTATAATGTGTACAGAGTCGAAATTTGGCTGAGATTCTTTTGGGGTTGAAGGGGTGGTGTAAACATAACGTTTTAACTGGTATTAAGTGTTTTGGATTACGTTAATTTCCTTCAGTTATAAGTTCGATTGGTAGTTTATGTATTTAGATGTTTACGTAGAATTTTGAATATCTGTGTGAACTGAACAGTAAACTAATACTAACCATTTTCCTTCAGGAATTAAACATAAAAGTATTATTTTTTTATAGTTGTGTTTCATTCATAACCAAACATCTACCGGTACACAAACAGAAGTCTGTGTCCCTCAAAAGGATTTATATGTAAATTCGATTATATGTTTCGTTGTATCTACGAGTAAAACATCACAGTTTTCTGAAAATTAAGAATCTAACCATACAGATAAAAAATGAACCCATACTGGTTTTATGTAAAAATATCCAGTGCATTTCAAGGCTATTTCCCCTACGATCTACTAAAAGAATCAGGATCATGAACATCAAGAATAGTTTGAAACCTCCAACAGACTTTGTCACAGTAAATGTCCCTGGAGCGGAAGACAAAACTATAACTCGAACATAAACCCAACTATTCGACTGGTTTGATTTACGCTGACAAAAACGCGCCGCGTAAAACTAACAATGACTCGAAATACTAAAATAACACGAGATAAACGCGTAGAGACAGACCCTAGTAAATCACGGAGCGGCCTTGTAAGTATAGTGACCGTTCGGGGAAAATGTCGGACAAAAACAGATCCCGGAAAGACAGCACCTTGCGTCTTTTGCACCTAGGGCGCCCCGCGATGCACCTAGGGCGCTATTGGCGGGGGGGGGGGGGGGGTGGTAGGTGGTCTTCTTGAATGGGCGTTAGACATGGACAAGTGTTACCCTTTCACGAAGGGAAAGTTACAACTTTTGTTGGGGGTAAATAACGATAGGTTCGTGGAATATTCAAGACTGAAGTCCGCCAGTTCGGATGGAGAAACTGAATTTTTAATTTGGAATTTTGAAATTGATTTATAGAAGATGAATCATCATACTACAAAAAATAAGGCTATACAGGGATGTTAGATATTGTCTAGGGAGAAAGAATATAGGCCTAATCACTAGACATTAGTTAATTTAATCAATCGAGTCCAAACGGTTTCGGTTGTAAAAAGAAACTTTGATAATATAATGTCAATAAATTCGCTGAATAACACTGTAAAGGAGGCATAAACATCAATATTGCTTTGCAGGGAAATGAATATACAGGTTACTACTTCAGAGATAATAATGGGACTATGTTTTAGTTTAAATCTGAAAGTTGAAGAATGGTTGAAGCCTGCCTGATTGTTTTAGAAGAATCAACAGCACAAAAACACATGAATAAGTTAACTACAAATTAACGTAACGTAGAGAAAAATTATTCGTTTCCCCGATTTTGGTGAAGAATCTGAAACAACTAATTTAAAAGGAATCATAAACAAAAACAAAACCCAAAATAAAAGTTTATAGACATTGACGTACCATATAGAATTGAATCAATAGGTTCCTTTAGAGAAGCTCAAAGTTCTTCTCACAAAATTCCCCAAAAAAATGTAAAAACACAAACACCAGTTGTGGGATCGAATGATGAAGAGCAGAAACAAAACGAATCCAAGGCTGCAGCCCATGCGAAACGCCCAGCAAATAACATATCAGCTATGAATACCCTGAATAGCCATGGATCCGTGACGAGTTGAAACAATATACTACAGGACATACTGCGATGAACCCAGGGGCCTTGCCTTGGGTACTTGGAATGTATTAAACAAATACGATTTATTGACTACATTCATAATTTTAAATACTTTGCAACACTATGGCAACGTAAAAACATTTAGAAATCACTAAAATTCAAGAACACAACATTCACACCCAACACTTCCAAGAAAATTCATAATGTGTGACGACAGCAAGTGGGCAACGAACAAAGATGGGGGTGTTAAAAGTCCAGCGGCAAAAACCAAGGGCAAACCTTCGGGCATCAAGGACATGAAGATTTGCAATCAGCTGGACAGAACCAAGTGGTGTCAGAAGATACCGAAAGGTCATGACGAAGATGCGTGTCATATGATGTCACAGAAACGCCGGTGTGTTCTGCAGATGATGAAGAAACTGGTGGACGAGCATGTAAACAGGTAGGATACTTAATAATTCTTCAGTATCCAGTAGGAAAATGAACTCTAAACAAGTAGGTAGGATATTGTAATGAAAACTGAAGGAAACTTCAGGACTAGAAATGGTAAAGAGACTGGGAGATCGTGTCAAAAGGCAAAAGGAACCCAGGAACATTGCCTGAAATGTATAGTAAAAATTAATCGTTTTGGACACTGTTGAATTTAAAGAAATTACAGGACGTTAAACAGATGGATGGGATGTTTTTTTAGGAAAACTGTTAGGAAATTTCAGGGTAACTGAAAATGATGTATCAAAAACGTCTGTCAAAACCAAAAGGAAAAGGGGTGGAACTGTACAAGTAAAGTCCAAGGATTGGGGATGGAGAATGTTGGATGTCGTTTAGTTAAATAATCTATCTAAGACGAGGAATATCTCTAATTCACCTCACCTTTGTATTATGCAATAATAGTGTATTCGTTTCAGCTAAGATAAACGCCAATTATTAGGGAAAAAATCGAGTTAAGTCGTTCTAATTATTCTAGGGATTGATTCTTAGCTGGCTTTAGATTTACAAATGTTTATATGCAAGATCTCGCGAGTATCTTTTATTAAACAATGTTTAATAGCGTCAGTTTAGTAAAACAACAGGTTTGATAAGTTTTAAATTTTGTAATTTTACTTTCAGTCCAGTTTGTCCAGAATGGGACACATCGACCACTTGTGAAAACACCCCTGGACCCTACAGGTTTGGAGTTTATAAGGTAATTAATTGTACTACCTACAACATATTAAATGTACCACACGACCAACTAAGAGTTGGTCAAGTCCACATAACAACTTCAGAAAGTTACAAGCCTAGTTTTAACAAGTGAATACTGTAAATAATAAGGGATGTCTAAATCAAAGTGAACATAAATTGTCACTAAACAATGAGAAATTAACAGATTACATGTAATTTATGAACAATATTAAATGATATTCAGTGTAGAGTTTGTCGCAGGTGTTAATAGTAATTTACACTGAAAGCCGATAGCATCTGCCCTTCCCAACACCTTCAAGGAATCCCGACAATTTCAACTCATTAATATTAATCCCGGGCAGCTGTCCAGTTTATTACACCAATTGGACATTAAATACCTGCTTATCTTGGTGTTTATGAGAGTGTATATACTTATTCTAAAATCAACGATAAAGCCTAATCCACATTAGTGTACAGGTCTCAGTAGGGTAGGGGTTAAAAATGTATTAGAAACTTTCTAAACACATTTATATTTGATTTTCAGTTTTAGATTGGTTGCAATTTTACTTAAGACACAGCCTGCAAGTAGAAGGAGTACTGAGTGTTAATCAAATAAACGTATTATAGGAGTTACTTCTAAATTGACATACCGTTACTATAGTTTTTTAATTGCAGATTTTTTAGATATAGGGATGAAAAGAAAATCCTCCTCCTAAAACTTCTTTTGGGGTCACTCGTAATAGCTGATCATTCTTATTGTAATCACAACATTACGTAATTCTGTACCGCAGGATCAATACAATAGTAACTATTATTCGGGTTACATTACAGCCGTACAATTTAGGTTCGAATTAAGTAATGTATGACACAAATTCTAACGTTGAATTTTCGGGTGTGTGGCCGATTATCAAGTTGCAGTTAATTCAGTCCCAACCATATAACGCAGATCTGTTGACAGAAAATATTATTATAACACAAACGCTAATATTGCAACGTCCCGTAACAGCAGAAACGATGAAAAGTACCATAAACATATTGTTCAAACAAATTTACTGCAAAGTGTCTTACAAACGCGATTATTTTTTTTAAAGCAGGAATCATTACGTGCCCTACAAAAGATGTAAGCTAGTAATCCTAAAAACAAAAAAAAACATAAAAGTACAGTTTTAGCGAATTTCCCATATAGGGAATAAGCTATTACCGTAGTACTCATGGTAAGACCTGGACCCGGGACCGATTTTTTTTTTGTTTTGAGGTCCCTAGAGGCCAAAAACACCATCCGTTCAAATTCATATATATATATATATATATATTTATATATATTTATATATATATTTATATATATATATATATATGTGTCCGTTAGCGCGATAACTCGAGCAAAAATGATCCGATTTTAATGAAATTTGGTACAAACCTGTGAACCTACGTTTATTCGAACGAGTTCGCGAACCAGCATGATTGGACCATGGGAACGGGGGTTTATGGGGGCTTTTATGGGGTAAAAATGGGTTTTTCCCATTTTTGCCCCAAAAAACATAAAATTTTGCAATTTCTTTCCAAACAATTTTGTAGAGCTTAAAAAAACAAATAATTTAGTATATTGAAGCGTTATAATGCGCCTAATGGTTACGGAGAAAATTCCAAAAAATTGTAAATTTAAAATTCTCATGTTATTCTTATGGAGAATAAGTAAACTGTTGTAGTTTGCTTGTTTATTAACATGTTTTGCCCAAATTTGGAAAATGTTTTTATTTCTTACTAACTATTAACATTTTTCATAAAAAAACACTTTCACCCTCCCTGTTGCAGCAAACCTAACTATGTGTTAAACTGATTCTATTTAAATAGGGAATAAATGTGATATTTTTAAGGAGATATTTTAGTGTAAATCCAATCAGGCAAATGGAAATTCGCTTAGTCTGCAGGTTTGCTGCGGCGGGGGTATTTATTATTTAAATCCATATTTTTGACAGTCTGGCAACGACGACAACTACAAGATCATCGCGAGTCAGATGACAGCTAGTGGATGTGAGTGTATCAAGAGGAACGGTCTCCAGGACGACTGTAGACTCCCCAGGTGCCGAGGGTCACCTTCCTGTAGGATCACCCCGTTCCCGAGGTGCGAACCGTTCCTGGGAGTCCCTGTACAGAAGACAGGAGTTCCTGCAGTAACAGCGGCCGTGGGATACGGGGATGAATGCCGATGTCCTCAAACTGCTAGCCAGTAAACACACTCTTCAATTGTTGATTAAAACACAATTCCGAAAGATTAGTGAAGTGTTTTTGTTGAGTATTTACTACTAGGAGATTTTTTTTTTATTTGATAGGTTTTTTTGCCAAAAGAGGTAGTTTGGTTGTGAAATCATTTGAAAACTTTACTATAAACTGAAGAGGCTAATTTATAGTAAGCAGCTAAGGGTTATCCACTGTGTTACTCTCTAAAACTGTTATTCATTTTGATCACTATTCAAAAACAAATTAAGTGAATTCGGAAATGACGGTTCTCATTATATTTTTAACTAAAACATGGTTTGATCAAAGTTCTACATACTGTAATTGATAACATCTTAGCATAAGGTGGGTTTTATAAAATCTCCATACTACTTTAGAACTTTTCCGACAAGGGAAACTATGCCAAAGGCACTCTATATCACAGTGACATTAGAAAGTTTTACAACCCTGCCTTTATGTGTAAATTACCTTAGAATATGGATTGCTCATGTAAAAAATACCAGGGACATTCCCGGGCTGACTTTGTAGCTTGCCGCGATGTTCGGTTCTGGGAATGGCATGATTTATGTGTTTATGGGAGCCCGGCCTTATGATATATGGCGGTAGCGTTTGTTTTCTCACGGACGAATTTGGCGTTTCTGTGAAAGTCCGGCTCCGAAACTGAAATCGGAAATGAGCGACGTCTGTCCTGTCTGTAAGGTCAAACCTGTACTGTCAATATGTTATGTATTGTATTACATATTAGAGATTTGTACGTAGTTGTACTATGTCGTGTGCACGTTATACCATAGCAATGCGTGAGTAAATCCTTATGAATTGACTCAAATAGGCTGCGTTCGATTATTGGTATACAATATTGTATCAGATAATTAGAAGTTCGCTGGTTCTGAGAAGTCAGTAGCTTTTTGATAGTCGAAACATCTGTTCTTGATCTTTAGACTAAATAAATAAATAAATGGTAGGCCTAAATAAAAAATAAATAAAATAAATGGTTTTGGCTAAATAAACAGGTGCTCTTAGCCGATAAAAATCTACACTGATCTAACTCCATTCTCCGCTCACCCTGTATTCCAATTCGGATTCAAAAACGAACCCTAGTGTGTAATGCAGTCTTAAATGATTAATGTATTGATAATGTAAAAACTTAATATACTTTTCCTAGTAAAAGTAAATTTACTATACACATATATAAATACAGTATACATAGAATAATGCAAAAATGGCCAAAATAATTCATCATAAAACTATTGAAATTCCTCGAGAGCTTAAACGACAAGTAAAAACTTGAGCTTGTAAAACGGCGATCGATTACGAAGGGTAAAAGAAAAACGTGGACAGAGTAAATACAAGGGGAGGAACGTCGTTTAATTGAAGGAATTTGACACGGGGGGGGATGCGGGCTGCGCAGAAATCATCAGAATAATCCAATATTTGTTGACACCACGCAATCTGGGAAATATTAAATAACGGCGCACATCTGGGGTTTCCCGCGGGGGGCTTCGGTACCCCTACCCCTCCACCCACCACCGATATTAACACTTCCACCCCTCAACATTCACACCTGTATGTCCTTGATGGCTCATTTTGGTAATGATACTGCACTATTTTGATAAATACTGTTAGTCTTCCTAAAAAAAGTGTTTTCTTCTTTTTGATATCATAATTATGCCTTACTCGACTGAGAAGCAGTAAGTTTGCATTGTAGGTACATTGGTACCATTTAATTTGCTATGAAGTGAGGTTAGTAGTTTACAGTGTAGGTCTGCCACATTTGTCTTGGTATAACGGGTTCAAATCCTGTTAAACAATCATTTCGTGACTCAGAGTACTCAGAGGGGCGTGACTGGTCAATTGGTTAGAGCCTTAGAGACAAGGAACCCGGGTTCAACTCCTAACAGTCACGTATAATACCGTAATGGTTTGGAGCTCTTACTGGAAAAACGTACGTACTTCGGTGAGACACTTCTAGTACGGAGAGCTATCTTTACTAAAATAGACGCAGAGTAACAGTTATTATTGCATTACCAGATAGAGATTAGAATAGAGGTTATCAATAATGTAATTTTATTCGTTGTGTATCATTACACAGTAGTTTGGTTCAAAAACATAATTTAAATATTGTTCAGCGTCTCTATTGACTATAGTGTTGCCACAAATTGTTTGGTGTTTAAGTTTTGTGTGAGCGACGGACGGACGGACGATGATGGCGCCAGAACCCTGAAACACTGTAACTGATGACAGCACACTGTACAGTCCTACAGTCTGTAAACACCAACAAACACTCGTCTACTCTGTACACCATACAACAACTGTCAAAACTGTGGTGATGCGGTACAAGTCAACGAGGCCGTGGGATAATAACATGCTACCTTACAGGTTATAGATCATACTTGAATCATTGTCTTTTGGTAAATTTTAAGTAAAACGATTCTAAGGTGTTTTAGGTCCGGTAAATTTGGTGGGATGCTGCAAACATGATGTGTTGTATTGTAACTAGAGTAAAGTGCAAACAGTAAAATGCATCTCGGCTCTCGTCATGTAGCTGGATGTGTTGCAAACAATACAAATGTATACAATTTTGCAATTGAATTAGAATGGGGGCGATTACTTCATGGAAGATACAACTCTTACATGAGTGTTCTTTGAGCTATCTATTAAATACAATTATTAACAAGAACTGTATAAAACTCAATTTAATCATTTCATAATGTTAGCTTGAACTAAACAACAACATTGAATTAAACAAACATAATAATAAATCCAATTATTAAATACAATTATTAACAAGAACTGTATAAAACTCAATTTAATCATTTCATAATGTTAGCTTGAACTAAACAACAACATTGAATTAAACAAACATAATAATAAATAATTCTGAACATCTGTGAATCTTAATAACATATGTAACACTATCAAAAATATATAGAACTATATACTATATGTATGTTAACCACCTTAAAATTTAGAGAAACGTAAGTTGACATCAGTGCACTTAAGCGTAATTGGCATAAAGCATACATCAATCAAACTATCCAAAGAAACTTATGAAAAACGGAATCAACCCAAGAATTAAATAACATGGTAACATAAAATAGCACAACAAATATTTCACATCAAAGAGGCCTCAAATTTAACAATAGGATAAGAAATCTGCGCACAGTGTACAGTATGCAAAACAATAAGGCAAAATAATATAATACACCTATACTATGAGATAACACAAAAGACCACAACACAATTCCACTCTTAGAGCGTTAACATATACGCAACTATTAACAAGACAGGAAAATGAATCTAGCGATTTTCACCGTCCAACATATCCTCTCGACATATGAATAAAACGACAGCAAAATGAACGTGAGAACAGGTATACGGCGTGGCATTAAAATTGCTAATATTAACGTACTCGAAGACCAAGTGGGCGTTCAGATGCTATCTGGCGAGGCGACGATTAAAAAGGCTAAATTAATAAATCTGGTAAGTCGAGTTGGAGACTCGAGAGTGGCGAGTTCCGGTAGCTATCTCCATCTCTCTTCGACGCTTCGTCTCTGTCGCACCTATGGCGGCTATATCATATTACCATTAGCATAAATGAGATTAGCATATATTACCGGGTGTTGGAAAAATCATAACAAGATGCCAGATGGTCTGGTCCGCCGTGGGTGGTGATTGAAAATGTCGGTAACATAGTTCAGTAAACATGTCGGTAATGCTGTTTTTCTGACTTTTACACGGTATGACGGTTGATTTTAGTAGTTTTGTAAAAGGATCATATATATCATATATATTATCATATATATCATCTGATTAGTTTCAATTTCCTAATAATTTAACTGGAGTCAAACTTTTATTTATGTCGTATTCAACAACTTTTAAACCACGGCCAACAAAAGGTACGCGTATAAAATGTATAAAATCCCAAGGGAAAATATTTAATGTTTAAAATAGAAAACGGTGTTATAAACGCACTCATCAATATAATGTCTTCGATTTGCATTAAAAATTGAATAACAAAATATTTAGGTTTAGCTGAGTTTAAGAGATAAGATTCTTAGCCTAATAGAAGAAATGCTATACCGGTACGATACTTACATTCTATCTTGAAGTCAAATTTCACTTCCAGCTTTAGTGCGATGAACTTAGTCTAGTTTTACACAAAATTTTAAATCAACGATCCTTTAGAATCGTTAACAATGCAACGAGAGTCCTTCCGCCGTATTAATCACTCAGCTCATGTTAAATGATGGATATCAGCATAGCCATCTCTAGTATCTATATTGAAATATAGTATATAATATACTAGAGACGGCTATGTCAGTCGTAACACACTACAGTAGGTTAATTTAGCAGTTAGTAGTCGATAGTTGGTAGGCAATAGTTGGTAGTCTATAGTCTACAGTTGGCACCGCACCAGCCAGGGGTGCCAACCACGATCATAACCGATTTATACTTTCCCAGACACAACGAATACAATTTTGAAGCTATAGCTATATTTAGTGAGGCAACGTGCGGCTCGTCACCGTCGACCACTTGGAGACCCAACACAGAACGACACTGCTTCAGACGAGTTATGTGGGAAACGGCCCTGCGAATACAAACCTATAGAATTACCGCTCTAAATATATGGGACAAAAGTAATTCGAACTATTTATGTTTTGTTGGCTGGCGCGCTTCCAACTCCTGACTGGAGCCCTGAGTGACACCACTTTTCATAACATTGTTCCTCGCTTGTTGCAATGTCGGTTGTCATCGTGCGAGTTAAATGGACGTTTAAAAGGTTTAAATGTCTACAAGATAGTTAACTTGTGGTTTTCGTTAAATAAGAGGGAAGTTAAAACACACACACAATTCTGAAACACAAGTGTGAAACTGTTGGTATTTTATGTGGCCTACGAAATGTGAAAGTATTTCTTAAAATTGGAAAACAAGCGGTTTATCTGTGACAATTAGAAGAGAAACATTCTCAATTATTACATGACTTTACAATTAATAGGATACATATTAATGTTTACACATTCTTCTTAAAAGAAAACCTAT